GTTTTCGTTTGATTTTTCGTTTGCATTTGTGTTTTGTTTGTGGTTGGGTTTGTGTTAGCGTTTGTGTTGTCGTTTGTGTTTGTATTTGTGTTTGTGTTATGTTTGCGTTTTGTGTGTTTGTGTGTGTTTTGTTTTTGGTCAGTTGTGGCTGGGTATATGCTAATTACAAAACACATATGTGAATTTCGATACTTGAAATAGACACGTCGCGGCAAGGCTAACCTGACACAAAACAAAGAATGTAATAAAACCTAGGCGGGGCGAGGAATAAAATAATTGAAGCATTTCATTTACTGCGTCAACTTACTTAACCTAAAGGAAAACAAGTCAAGCAGAACGTTAACGTGTTACACGGGCAAATAGATGCTTTATGAAAGCGCTAAATTTAAAGCTATTCTAAGCTAGTTTGTGCATGAAAAGGATTGTAAACAGGCGATCAAAATATATTGGATTTGGCTGAGTTTTGTTAACCGGCCTCATGTTGAAGTTGTTATTCATGAAAATTAAATTTTAAAAACCTACTGTGTATGGATGTTAGGGCGAAACGAGGTGCAGATGCAGCCTCAGACCACCAACTCGTGGTTGCAATACTAAAATTAAAACTAAAATCCTACAGGGATCGAGCTGATAAACCGCTCTTTAAATTCAATACAACATTTCTTAGGTGTCCAAAAATAAAGGAAGACTTTAACTGCGCAGTAAAAAATAGGTATGAAGCACTCTCCAGCCTGGCAGAGGATACAGTAGAGGAAACAGTAGAGCAAAAATGGCAAGGAATACAGGAACTATGGAAGTCAACATGCACTGACATATTGGAGAGAAGAAAAAATGAACAAAAAGAATGGATCACAACAGAGACATGGGCCAAAATTGAAGATAGAAAAGAGATAAAGCAGAAGATTAACAAATGTAAGGATGAAAAAGAGAAAATAAGCCTCAGAACACATTATTGTGAAGTAAATCGCATGGTCAGGAAAAGTGCAAAAGAAGACAAAAGATTGGTCATACAGGAGATGATAGAGGAGGCAGAAACTGCGGCACGACAAGGAAAAATGAAGAGGCTTTATGAGGTAACCAGGACACTATCAGGTAAGAACATTAATCCCAACAAACCAGTAAAGGATAAAATAGGAAATATCTTAACAAGTGACACAGAACAGAGAGACAGATGGGCACAGCACTTTGATGAGATTTTAAACCATCCTCTCTCATCAAACATCCCGGATATACCACCTGCAAATCAACTACTAGATGTGTGTACAGATCCACCCACAAAGTTAGAAACAATAAGAGCAATAAAAAACATGAAAAATGGCAAAGCAGCTGGCCCGGACGGCATCCCACCAGAGGCACTCAAGGCAGACCCAGCCATATCAGCAGACATACTACATCCTCTACTTAAGCAGATATGGGAAGAAGAGATAATCCCATCTGACTGGAAACTGGGATACCTGATAAAACTGCCAAAGAAGGGAGACCTGACAAAATGCAACAACTGGAGAGGGATAATGCTTCTTTCAGTTCCAAGTAAGGTGCTGACAAGAATCATCCTAGAGAGACTTAGAGATGCCTTGGACAAAAAGCTGAGACAAGAACAGGCTGGTTTTCGTCAGGACAGGTCATGTACTGACCACATTGCCACGCTACGCATCATTGTTGAACAGTCCCTTGAGTGGCAATCCCCCTTATACATGACCTTTGTCGACTTCGAAAAGGCGTTTGACAGTGTGAATAGAGATGCTATCTGGAAGTTAATGAGCCACTATGGAATACCCAAAAAATTTATATCTATCACACAGAAACTATATGAAGACTCCACCAGTCAGGTAATACACAAGGGAAAACTAACAAAACCATTCAGGGTGACGACGGGAGTAAGACAGGGATGTATGCTATCGTCAATGATATTCTTGATGGTGATCGACTGGATCATGCTGAGGGCCACAAAGAACGACACAGGAATCCAGTGGAGTTTCACAAAAAGGTTGGAGGATCTTGATTTTGCCGATGACATCTGCCTACTATCTCATAAGCATCAACACGCGCAAGTCAAACTAAATCGGCTGTCTGAAGAAGCCTCCAAAATTGGACTAAAAATCAATAAAAACAAAACAGAGGTCATCAGAATCAATAACAGCCAGGACCTGCCGATACAGCTGAATGGAGAAGATCTACGAGAAACAAACACATTCACATATCTGGGAAGCGTGATCAATAAGGACGGAGTGGCAGACGAGGACATAAAATGCCGTATCAACAAGGCTAGATGTGCCTTCAACTCGCTGCGCCCAGTGTGGAGGTCCACGGCCCTGTCACTCCGGAGCAAAATTGGGATTTTCAACACGAATGTGAAGGCAGTGCTACTCTATGGCTCGGAGACCTGGAGGGTTACGAAGACTAATACTGATAGGCTACAGGCGTTCGTAAACTAATGCCTACGTCATATACTCAAAATAAGATGGCCAGACAAGATAACAAACAAAGACCTGTGGCAAATTTTAAAGCAACAACCAATAGAGAAAGATATTAAGGCCCGAAAATGGGGATGGATCGGACACACGTTAAGAAAAGAAAAAGAAAACATCGCAAAACATGCATTGGACTGGAATCCCCAGGGGAAAAGGAGGGTGGGCCGGCCAAAGAAAACATGGAAGAGAACGATTGAGGAAGAGGCAAAAACAGCTGGGCTCTCATGGGCACAGATCAGAGGAGCAGCCCAAAACCGAGTCCGCTGGAGATGTGTGGTTGCAGCCCTTTGCTCCCCAGGGGCCATAAAGGAGTGATGATGATGACTGTGTATGGAAATTGAACAGAAATAGCACATTGATTTAAAAAATTGATTATAAAATAGTGTAGAAATAATTAAATTAAAATTTAACAATGGAGGTGTTTTGCCTATTAGATATGTCATCTTTTTGTCTATGAAAAGATTTGCCCTCTGAGAAAATTTAGTGTGTTGGATATAATTAACTCTAATGTAAGTGGCGCTTTTAACAGACTATTTTAGTTACCCCGAATGTAAGACGCGCTTTTAGAAAGGATCTTTTAGTTACCCCAAACATTAATTAGAGCATGCAAGAACAATCTGTTCTAGCAAAGATCATAAATAAAACGAAACTGTAGCGTAAAAATAGTAACAAATTAACGGTATTTACATTGATTCCTATGGTATCTAAATGCGACTTAATTTTGAGATTATGTGCAAGGTTTAGGGATCAAGCTTAAATCCGGTTAAAATGCAGATTCTGGATAAAAAATCCGTTTTTAATGACATTTTTCGTTTCCGGTTAAATTTGAAGTTTAGGTGGTGATTTTCTTTTTGATTTCGAGTTAAAGAAAAAAGACACCACTATCAACCTAGCGCCCGTTGTATCTCTCCCTCAACGGGCCATTTATCTCGTATTAAATACTTACACTTTAAAAATAGAATAAAATCTCGTAGGAAAAATTATTGCACACCAGTGAAAACCACATAAAATGTGCATAATAGTGCGGAATATTATTAGTACTTTATAAATTTACATTCGTTTTTGAGAAATCGGAAATAGCGTAAATTAGTACTTCCGGTCCACGGAAATTACTCAAAATTTGACAGAAGGTAGACAATTAGATCTTTTACTTACGTGTGAAATGTCATTTATCTATCTGAAATAGTACTCAAGTTATAGGTTCTTGAAAAATTAAAAGTAGAAAAAAGTACCACTTCCGGTTATCGGAAATCGCTCAAAAGCTGATACGGATCTATGATTTTGATAAAACACTTATATATGAAATTTCATCAACCTAGCTGTAACGGTACTCAAGTTATCGTGTTTACAGACACACACACAGAAACACACACAGACATACACACAGACATACTTGCAAAATTATGTTTTTCCGTATCATCATCGTCATTTCTTTGTGGCCCCTGGGGAGCAAAGGGCTGCAACCACACATCTCCAGCGGACTCGATTTTGGGCTACTCCTTTCATCTGTGCCCGTATGAGCCCAGCTGTTTTCGCCTCTTTTTCAACCGTTCTTCTCCATGTCTTCCTTGGCCAGCCCACCCTCCTTTTTTCCCTGGGGATTCCAGTCCAAAGCGTGTTTTGCGATGTTTTCTTTTCTTAATGTGTGTCCGATCCATCCCCATTTACGGGCCTTGACATCTGTCTCTATTAGCTGTTGCTTTAAAGTTCGCCACAAGTCTTTGTTTATTTTGTCTGGTCATCTTATTTTAAGTATATGCCGTAAGCATTTGTTTACGAAGGCCTGCAGCTTATCAGTATTTGTCTTCGTAACCCTCCAGGAACATCATTAGTATTTGAGCATAGTGCGGGGGAACGGTTGCAAAGCCAAGCATTTATATGAAGGTGTTATTGGCGACCCTGTGCGTATTATTTAACATTTAATGGATACTGGAGGTTTTTTTAACCATAGCGGTGCTTTGACCATAGGGGGTTTGATCATAGAAGATCGTTCCCGGTTTATTTTGTTTTAACTTCCATTTTGTTTTGTCCAGATCAGTCTATAAATTCTTCTTGATATTTAGTCTGATCCCCACTACAAACGTTAGGAAACTAGTGAACTACAAAGTTTTAGGTTTTTTCTTGACAGCCAGCCAGCCAGCCAGACAGACAGACAGACAGACAGACAGACTTTTTACTTTCTTGAAAATGATTTCTGTGTTTATTAATACAATAACATTAATATAATTTCAATAAGGTTGACGAAATTTCATTTACAGTTATTAGCTCCTTCTATTACTTTTTAATCTATTTTCTTTAACCGTTAGTGTTACTTATTCTACTATTGGGTTCGTTTCTCATACGGCGATAATTTGAATATCGTTCTAGATTGGTGAAGAGTTTTTCACACAAAAGTAGGAGATTATATTCGCAAGTTTCATTTACATCTTGAAGGAATTCTCCTTTTATCTCCTTTTAATTTAATTTGTAATAGGTGATGTTCTTACTCTCAGCATACTTATTTTATTCTAATTCTACACTGACATTCCACAG